TCCATTGGTTGGGGATATTTCTTTATAGTAACAATTTAGACGATAAATATATTTTAATATCAACTCAGTAGTAAAATGTATAGATTTTAGTAATGCAGAAAAAGAAATTAAGATTTAAACTTTTTGTGTGTCTACGGACATAAAATCATAAATATTTCATTCGTTATAGCTATTCTATGTACTTTGTATGATTTGCTATTTTTTAGTTGTGTAACATATATTTATACCATTCTGTAGCTATAAAAAAGTCTTTAAAACCTTATGAACAGATCGTAAAAAACACCCGGTCGTTCATAATATTTTATTATCATCTGTTATTGTCACTGGACGTGTCGCACATCATCTATGTTGGTTTTATTATTTTTAACGTTCCGACATAAACAACGGTAGACTGTTACTGGTAAACGGCAACAACTATGTTTTGCACTGAATGCGTTCTAGACATGGAATAGTAGGGTGCTGTTTGAAAATTCTATAAATAGCGAACACATTACACAGTTGGCTCTGATCTAAATAATTAAAGCCGTAGGCGGGAGTTATATTGCTTGCCACAAGAGGAATCGCATTGGCAGGCAAAAAATGTGTTCCTACACACAAAATGTTTTTTTTACTTTGCGAAAAACAACACACTCTAATCTCTAGGTTCGAGGTCATAATATATTTAATGTGTAAACGTTTTTTATAGCGCTATGACACCACAGTCCACAAGTTTGCTTACATAAAAAACAGCAATTAAAATATCTTTTTGTAAGCAACCGAGTCCTTTGAAAAACAGGAAAACAGACGTGGGTTTATATCCATTGTGTTTGTATTACGAAAATATAGTAATTGATTTTCCTTGATACTTTTGACAGGTAATTTATTCGCCTCGTGTAAAATATTGTATTAGAAGATAATCCTTTCGCTTGACATTGATGAGCATTTTCTTCAAAATCTATTCATATAAGTAAACGCTAATATTTTTTATGATATCCTATTCGATTTTAAAAGGTGCACTTTGCCTGTTCAACATGCTCACGTTTATTGTTATTCACATCAAATATTAATTACAATATATGTATTGATTAAAATGTTCAGGGACGGACTAGACAAAAGCCGAGGTATACGATCGCATTTAAAAATGAATGACAAAATTATGTATTTTTGCCATGTACAAACATTAATCCATTATTCATTATCTAGTTGATTATTTTTAAATACTAGTAAATGCTATAACAGGGATAAACAATATTAGTGTATTCCAATTAATTAGTTCATAACACATACATTTTTGGTTTCAATCATTTTTTCCCCATTATTTATAAGCAAAAAACTTGTTATTTAAATATAAAAGTTGAAAAAACTTACCGGCTCTATCAAAATTACAAAAAAAACACTCAGATTTTTCAGTTACCATTAAAACGACAAAATTGTTTTAGAGCTTTTTCTATAGAGTCGAGTAGATTATAATATACCACTATAGTGAAAATAAAAAAAGAGCTTGTCAAGAAGATACAAAATATGAATTAAACAATTCAATACAAATTATTTAAGTTTTTTAAAATTAAATGAATTGTTAATTTTAACTAAGCCTTTCTCAAGCCACGCAGATCCCTGAAATCTAAGAACGGATTTAGTTATTTAGAGTCTTATTAGAACAATCTAGGCAAGTAGAAATGCAGTGAAGAGCTCCAGAACTTTATTTTATATAGTTCATTCACTACAGAGCTTTAAAGTTGTATATCATAAACAGTGACGGTTCATCCGAAAAATGGGCCCTTGCGCAAAAGTTAAAAAAGGGGCCCCTTCTTTTTTAATTCTAAATAATATAAATATAGATACATAAATTCAAAGTTACAGGGAGTGTCAAAAATAGCATACACGCTGTACATATTTCAGAAAATGTTGTTGTCAATGTGGGGGGTTCTCTATGATAAGTAATTCAGTAGTCGCTTTAATCGATGTTCGTTTTGAAATTTCTTCTTTAAAGGAAGTTCTGAACGATAAAATTTGACCAGCAAGAGCATTAGATAAATCAAAAACGTAACATCCTGCCAATTTATTAACAGAGTTATAAATAATAACTCGCTGTGCCCTTACCAGCTGGCATACTTAATAGTTTTTCTAATATAGGATCATGTTTTGAAATAAGGGTTTTTATTGATAACAAATTGCCTTTATATTTACTATTTAGGCGCCATTGTTTAAATATAATACAACATTGAATTATAAGATCATTTGAGTTATCGTGAACTGATCGTATCTCGAGTAGAAAACAACCAACAACACTGACAATATATTTATTTATTTTATTTATAGTTAATGAATAACATAGCCATGTACATTTTAAAGTAATATGATTTGATAAAGACTGATTTGTAAAATAGTAAAATTTTTCTGAAAACGATCTCCAATCACTGTCTTTTGGAAATGGACCCTTAGGCTGGCAAGGGCCTTGAGAAATTATAAATCGTTTTCCTTGGTGCCTGAGTGGTTCTTTAAAATTATCTTTGTCAGAAAAAAAACGGTCATTGGTTAAACTACTAAAAAATATTTGGTTCGAAATTTGTAGTGTTAATAATGTCATGACTAGATGTTTGTGTACTTACAGTTGGCATTATTATTATTATTATATTTTAATACTGACTGAATTTCAACGTATGAATTGGAATTTGGAACATTCTATGAAACCATTGACAATTTAACTAAAAAATATCAAATTGAGGACCATGCGAATAACCTTTTTTTCCGTACATAATTGTATTCATATATTTTTTTTTCCTGAACGTTGAGTAATACTAGGCCCCCCTAGCCAAGGGCCCGTGGCATTTGCACACATGTATCACACGCCACTGATCATGAGAACCCTTTTTTTCTTTAAATGTTCATACTTTTTGGAATAATCAGATAATAACTATTCTGGTGATAAAACATGCCGTTCTCCAAACAAAGGACACGATTATGACTATGTATTTTTACTTAACTTTTTGCACATTAAGTATATTATTATGGTGATAATTTTAAAAAATCCTATATATTTCATAAATCCACGAATAAACTATGCTATAAGGTCATAACTATTTTAATACATATTTTGTTTTAATGATTAATGTTAAAATATTTTACAATAGAAGTATTAAATAGTGATGGGAATCGGAAAATCCGAATTTTCACAAAAAAACGCTATTTAAGCTACTTAAAAATCATATAAGTGTTAAATAATTTTACAATATAAAGCTCTGTATCTAAGTAACATATTTTTGATAAATATGTGAAAATAAAACAAAACACCAAAGAGATAGACTGCTTTTGAATTTCGGATTTGTTGAAATCTGAAAATCCGGAATCCGAAATCCGAAAGCATTTCATAGACAAAGTTAAGAGTTTTTTAAAAAATTGTTATCAAAAAATTTTACTTAGGTACACATCTTTATATTGTAATATTAATTAACAATTATATGATTTTTAAATGACTTAAAAAGTGGTTTTTTTTGAAAAATCCGGATTTTCGGATTCCCATCACTAGTATTAAAACATTTTATTTGGCTTTTTCTCAAAGTTGCTATTTTGCACACCGGTCCCTTTGTCCAGAGAACGTCTCAATATGTGCCTGAACTATACATAATAACAAATAGATATAATATTTCTTTTCTTCGTTTGTCATATAATGTTTTATAATATTATATTCTTCAATCGATTCATATTGTAGCATAGCAATCATGTTAAAACATTTTTTAACCGTGGTGGTCTGAATGCGGAATTATCGGTCAGTTTGTATGCAACCTTGGCCATTTTTTCTATTGGCTCATAACAAAATGAAATGTTAATAAATTATATAAATCAACTGTATTTTATTATTATTCGCTTAAAAACATGTGTTACGTACATCCAGGCAACGTATAAACAAATTGAATATAATATATTGTGAATTATTTTTTGTCTTTTAAATGTTACTGTGCTACAAATAATACGAGTTGTACGCATTGTATTTTGTTTTATTTATTTTTATGATATTATTATCCTTTGTAGACTTTACGAAGATACGTTTCAGTATCATCTACTGATCCAAGAACTAGTTACCGATGACGGTAGAGGAGGAATCCGAAAATGTACAGTTGTTACAGTGTTTTGAATATTGAAACAAAATGTGTCTTTTAAGGTAGGTTAAAACACATTTTTTTAAAACTATAATATACTGAGACCAACAATGACGAATAGCAATTGATTGTTGTGCTTTAAACACAAGGTATGAACAATAAATGAGAGTAGTGGGAATAATATTGCCAAGATGTGATTAGACTAGACAAAATAGATTAGGAGCTAGTGGATTAGAATTATTAGCTGCGACAAAAACCGAAAAAATATCGATAAAGATGCAAGTGTTATAGCATTTATCTAAAGATAAACTTTTATATATGAATTATATATTTTATAATTTTATATTTATTTTATATTTTTTCTATGAATGTTTATTAAGAAACTAAATACATGGTTACAGCAATGAAAAATAAAACAATATTTTATAGGTTGTTTTAGCCAAAAGTTTAGTTAGTGTTTTCTTAGGCGCGTATTAACTATTTCAATATCAACATATTTCGTCCAGTCAAATGATCGACAAGCGGTCCAAATCGAAATCTATTACGATATACGCCTGTATATCTTGGTGGAAGTTAGTATTTAAGTAGAAAATAAAACACAACAATAATATGTTTGAACACAATACTATTAAACATAAAAAAACACTCACAGTATAGAGAATAATATATATATACAACGTACGTTACGGTTATAACAGCAGCCGTAATAGAATGGTAAATCCAACACCTTAATACTATGTCTTATATATGATATATTCTAGGTTACAGATGTAATTGGTCCTTGTATAAAACAACTTTTAAATATTACTCAATGATTTCTTCAGTGTACACATATAATACCATATAAGGTTATATAATATTTATTACTTATAACATACTTATATTCCATGACCCAAATAACAATATTAATTATATTCAATAAAATCAAATCGTAATCGACGGACATACATAGAAACGTAATTCACTTATAAATCTAATCGGTTATATTGAAGCTATGCTTCTTATGGAACGCCTGGGCGCTGGCGGTCAACGAAGAAAAACCGCAACGCATGCATATGTTTGTTTGTCCTTTGCGCATTACTATACCATTCATCCGATAAATTCACTTAAAAATAGTTAAACAATTATAAATCTAACCGTTCTATAACTTTATTTTTATAATTATAGTTCGTCAATACTCCACCGCTTCTGCATTATTGTTATCTGCTTCGAAACTGATGTACCCTGACGCTAAAGGAGTTTGTCCTAAGTACTACGATCGATGAAGATTTCGATAAAGATGTGGTCGGATTTTTAGATGAATTGATTGGACAATTATTTTATGAACTTTCGGTTGCATTTGAACCTTCTGCCTTGAAAACGGATGGCAAACTGAATTTGGACGAGCAAACTGACAATAAGTTGTATCAGACGACAACAGATGAACGCCATTCACAGACCGACAATCAAACAGGTATCTATGAAATGATTAAAGATAATTACAGATTAAGGTTCTAGACACACGTTTTTTATTTAAAAATGTAATAGTAAAACATGCATGTATTTAGAAATATTCAGAATAAACCCCGACCCCCAACCCCTACGTAATAAGAGAATAGTTTTGTTTTTGAGCAAAAATGTGTTACATTGTGCTTGTGCTTTTATTTTATTAAACAAAAATAATATACCTGCATACACATAGGCATATCCAAGAATCAAACCTCGGACCTACTCCCACCCTTCTTCTCGGGAATGGCCCAGTGTCAATAATTTTTATCTAAACTACACATTTTTTTTTTTTTGTAAAATATTTGATATTATACATTTTTTATTTCAGTTTTGATATGTTTATTAGTGTTTGATGCACAAGACCTTGTTCGAATACCGGATGTAATATCCCCAGTGCCAATTGAGTCTCAGTATTCCACATCTCACCCACGAGCCCGACGGTCAATGTGGAGACGGGCCAAAAGAGCTGTTTTTGTTCGGACATTAAAATTTTAATATAAGGTAATTATTGCGAATAATATTATAAAAATCCCCTCTCTCACTTGACCTTTTTTTTGGTAGTTAAGTTTTCCGTATTTCCCAATATAAACTAACGAGTATCCACACTACAAGCGGATACATAGGCACATGTATATGTCTTTATATTCAAGTATAGGACCCTGGAACTATTTGGTACTTTTCTTATCTCTAATCTCTAATAATTTAACACTTATCTTTAATCTCTAATTTTTTTTTTTTCAATCCAAAGATTAGTTTTTAACAAATTTTTCACAAATTTTTCTCTGTCATTCGCCATATTCTTGAGCTCCCTGTAGGAAGTAACTCCTGCATCCTGCATTACTTGGCTAATGTATCTCGTTCTAGGTCTGCCTCTTGATCTTGTTCCTTCTATCATTTCTTCAATTATTAAACTATGCAATTCATCCCCATGCCTCAACGTGTGTCCTATCATCTGCCATCTCCTTTTTTTTATAATGTCTATCAATGTTCGTTTTTCATCTATTGTCCTCAAGATGTCTTCATTTGATCTTTTATCAGTCCAGCTTATTCTCTGAATCCTTCTCTCGGAGAAGGATCCAGGGGACCCGGGGTACCTTCTAAACAGCTAAACCAATCTCTTCGTGTAGCAACTCAATAGATCAGAAATCGTATCTGGAAGGATTTTATCATTTTCAGTTGTGATTAATCATACAGACCTGTGACTACCCCATCCCAATATGCCCCGGCCCCACTGTACTGTTTTTGTATTAATTACACCAGCAATTCTTTAGTGTATTTTGCATTATTATTATTACTATTTATCATTATTATTATGTCCGATTAACTTATAATTAAGGAATTACATTTTAAGTTATTAAAATTTTATCTAACTTTTGAAAAATATTTGCAGGACGTTTCACCAATTAACACTTCATTATTAGACATTATACGACAACAGCTAAAAATACCGGTTAGATTAATAATTTAATTTTCTCATCATAAAGAACACATTTTTTTAAAATTTAATTCATACATACATTTATTGCAGTTTTTTCGTTTTTTTTACTTAATTTTGAAATGTTAGTAATTATTTTATGTTTTTTATATACTTTTGGGTTTCATCATAATACGGATTTTATATTTATACATTTTTGGTAATTTATTTGTATTTGTTATTAACTTATTTATATATTTTTTTTATTAAAAATATTCATTGATTGATATTAATAAATAAGTTTCCATCTTTACTCAACTAGTCTTATTATTATTTATAAAAAAAACATAGTTTGAATGTTTATGAGAATTACAAAAGTTTGGGATAGAATTAAGCGAACAGGAAACAATAAGAAAACATAATAAAAAAAATGATATCGTGTGACGTGCACTGTTTGTATAATTATTGTGTTTCATCTACAAAAATTCATTAGATATGCGACCAAACAAAATAATGTTTTACTGTCGATTCCCCTGAATACTAAGTTAAGTTAATTAATTGAAATTTGATTAGCCAAAAGCTCAGTCAAAAACTATTTAATGACTTATGCAAGTATTAAAAAGTGAAATATGTGGGTAGACGCCTCAACGAAGCACACTACTCTTTCATGTAGCTAAATTGCCTACACTCAACGCCGTTTTTAAACCTGGCGTGTTTCTTGTCAAATTCAAATAATATAATGATGTAATTTTCGATTCCAAGATTATAGTAAATACCATGGCTATAGCCTATACTTGAGTATAAAGGGCGTAGTTTAGTTACAGATGAAATCTGGTTATTATCTGAAATATGTTTGAACCAATTTCTTCGTGTAGCTTGTTCACAGATCAGAAATTATAAATGGAATGTACTTTACGCAGACAAATATTTAAGAATTTCACCTCTCTCCGAACCAGTACATCTCAAACTATGCACAGTTTAAGCCAGTACAGTCCAAACTAGTACAGTACAAACCAAGCTCAATTATAAATTAGCATAGTGGTTGTCCAAAGAGGTTATATAATTTGAAAGTTATTTAATCATTTTCGAAAGCTTCGATGAAAATCTGTATATAGTATAACCTACCACAGTCTAAATCAGTACAGCTTAAGCCAGTAGAGTATAAATTAAGTTCTATTTATATCAATACAGTACAAACTAAGTACAAATTAAACCAGTATAGTTCAAACCAAGCACAGTGTAAAACCAGTACAGTCCAAATTAGTAAAGTTTAAACCAGTATAATACAAATCAAGTACTGTCTAAACTAGTACAGTCGAAACCAAACACAGTTTAAACTAGCACAATAAGAAATTACTAAAGTGGTGTCCAGAATCCACAGATTTGCATCGAAGCGTTTTTTCAATGTGGTTTTATATTTTCTCTAAATAACTTAATTTCGAGTACTAGAGTCTAGAATCTAGTTTGGTCGATTTTTTTTTTCAATTTTGTACAGTTATATAGTACTCATATAATAGTCCTTGAACAATATTTTAAGTTCCTAAACCCTGGGGCCAGTCTCAGGTTTAAGACAAAACGTGTTAACTAGTCAGTATTTAATTTATAAGAGTTTAAAATTTAGGACGGGAGGAAGGGTGGAGTGTATTATTGATTTTATCTGCACGCATTTATCAATCGTACTCCGTCTCCCATCCTATATTTTAAACTAATAACTTTAAAAGTAATGATTCAAAACTGGTCATCGATCAGTGTACATTTTCAGTAAACTGTTCTTAATTTAAAAAAGGAATTAAATGTATACATTATCAATCATTTAATTTTCAAAAGTTACCCCCGCCCTAAATCTAGTTTCTGCCTGAAAAATACAAAAACTCAATTATTTTTTGTTTGATAAAAATTAGAATTGTTTTACATAGGTAATTTATTACCTGTGTATCATCAAAACAACAGGTGTCACCTTTAACTTAGAACATAGGTAGTAGGTACTGTATATAAAAATATTACATTATTTACACACACGCTTGTGACTTGTCCAATATTTAACTTAGATTCACGTTTGTCTTTTAAAAATTTAACATTCTTCTTAATACATTAAACTTAATAATTTATGCGTTCCTCCAATGTAGTAAAATAAAGTCAATGATTATTGGCTCATTGTACACCGAATTATATAGCATATCAAAATATAAATGAATATCAATGGCGGTTAATCAAGTGATATTACTTCCGATGAGAGGTTATACTACTATTATAATATAGTATGAAAACGATCACTTTCATTTTACGTAATGTATAGTCTAAAGCATATTAGTAGCTACTTAATTTACTTGACTCAAGCGAATAAATACAAAATAGTAATTTTTTATTTCAAATTATAGATTTATTTATTTACATACTTATATATGTATGTATATGTATATATATATATATATATATATATATATATATATAGGTAATGGAATATTGTTTTAGTGGTTAATTTGTTCAGTCTGAAAAAACAAATAAATTATATTCTTTTTAAGGATTACTTGGTTTTTTCCCCTTCAATTAACTAATATATAAATTCGTCAAACGTGCAGAGTAAATAGTGTCAATAAACATGTTCGTTAAAAATATTCTCTAAGACTTATACTTTGTGTCACCCGTTATGGAGGAGATACATTAATATTTTTAGGCATACAGAAATTGATGAATTTACCTTAAATAACACGGTTAGTATGGACATTAGTTATAATATTTTTAAGGTATAACAGTTTTCTTTGGCACATATTTATATAAGTGTAATTTTTTAAGATTCGAGTTCTCGCGAGACTTTTGGATGATTCGTTGTAGATATTTATGTATCTAATGTCGATTACCTTTTTGTTTATGAAGGCGCTGATGCTGCCTCTCCTTACATCGGAGAATCGGCGATCTTCAAAAGACATCCAAAATAATTTGCGGTACACAATAAAAACAAAATTAAACGTTGATCGAAAATAATCAATCGCAGCGGGGAAAGCCGAAATTTTTTGGTAATCAAACCTTAGCCTGATTCGTTCAAATATTTACATACACATACATATATGTTACGCGTTCACTTTAATTAATTTTTTTTTAAGCACTGCACCGGCAACGTACAAGTAGTATTAAACGAAAATAGTTTAGCTAGGGGCGTGCGAATCGTACTGACGCAAGCGGACCGCAAACGAACGGACAAACATTTTTTTGGCACCGTCCTGTCGATGCGGACCAAAATAGACGTCACTTGGCCTTCTGAACTTAAGCTCTGCTGCTGCTACTGCTACTGCTGCTGCCACTGCTACTGCTGCGGCCGATTGTCGTTAATATTGCCGCCGCCACGTTGACTCTCGGTCGCCGCTGTAGTGTATTTGAATGAGTTTTGAAAAATAAATGAACGGTAGGCCGATAAAAATTTGGCCCCACCCTATGAAAAACTGAAATGTCACCCCCGGCAGTGGGGCCGGGGCATAGTGGGGACGGAGAGGTCACGGGTCTACAGACTTTATTATAACCGAAAGTGATAAAATCACTTTTAAATAAACGCTTCGATGCGGATCTGTGGATAGTATGTTCAAACCTGTTATAGCGGTTTAGAAGATATCGTGGGACCAGCAATAATTTACTTAAAATATTTTAATATTTAGTCTTGTGCAGGGTGGATACGATAAGGGTTGATCGTCTGTCTATAAAAATGTATTGCCATAGTTACCCATATATCATCACTAACAATGTAATGAAAATATTTTCATTACCTGTTGACTGTTGATTCACACACACACATAGAAACTGACTACGGCCAAAGTGTAGATTTACCCTATTTTTGGGGTTTTTCCTTAATAAAAAAAAAATTTGACTACAGATTTTTGAGAAAATTGTATATGTTATAGTTCCATTTTAGTTCCTTCGGTCTAATTTTCAGATCTAAATCTATAAAACTTTGTTTGGAAAAGTGAAATAAAGAAAAAAATTCTATCCCTTCTAAGGGAAAGGGTTTATGATATTTTTTTGGTTTATTAATGTTTATCGATAGTACTATGTTTGAAGAAAAATTCATATAAATTTGGAACATTTTCGACTATTTTTAAAAAAGTTATAGAGCGTCGTAATTTTAAGTTGAAAAATTTGTAAATTTTTTGTCCAAGTAAGTACCTTCCAGGTATGATTTCTGATCTAAAGAGTTGCTACACGAAGAAATCGGTTCAGCGGTTTACGAGATATCGTGGGTCCAGACACAAAAATAAAAACACATCATTGTAAATACAATACCTTCTCAGCTCCGCATCGAAGCTAAAAAATCACTATGGACCAAACGTGTGCTAGTCGAAGCCTGAAGGAGGGAAAACCTATAAAATAGGTAAAATAGAAACGCATCGTTGTAATAACAATAATTTAAAAGTTCATCGTTCAGTTATAAATCGTAGGTAAGGGTTAACTCTGATATTCTCTGTTATAATAATATTATAAAAAATTATAAGATCGAGTTTGGTTTATTTTCTAGGTGTTTCAAGGGGGTTAGCAAACAATTTTAAAAATTCCGGGATAACTCTAGTTGCGTCAAAAAGTAATAACTTAAAATCGTTATTAGGTAGTACCAAAGATAAAATAGGGCAAGAGGAAAAATCCGGGATTTATAAAATACAATGTGAAGAATGCGATAAATGCGCCATGTAGGTCAGACAAATTGAAATATTAGAGCTAGGTTTAGAGAGAACACATAAGGAACATTAAAAACCAGCAAGTACACAAATCTCCTGTTGCGGAACGTTTATTGGATACTAATCACAGCATCAAATCGGTAAAATTACTAAAAAATGTAAATAACTCTAAAGAACTTTTAACATTAGGGAAGCAATAGAAATGTTGAGAAATAGAAAAAAAACTCGTTAAACTGGGACTTAAGTCATCATTTCCGATATGACGACGCTGTATAGGTATAGAGGGAGATGTTCCCAGTTAACCCAGTTTGACGGAGTCGCTTAAATGTAAGAGGAGCCCCCGTGGATTTATAAGTATTTAGTTTAAAAGCATTTTCACTTAAAGATAACCCATCAGTGTAATGGGAATCAATAATAGCCTTTTTCTCTCAATCGTGATTAGCTTTCGAAGGCATTTAAAAAAAAAAACACTACCAATCGTTAATACATAGGCATAACTGAAGAATATGAATTTGGTCAAAAGATAAAAGGGAATTTCGACTGATAACAGTAAAAATCACATATTCAAACAGCGTCAATCCCAAACAGATGGTAACATAATACCAATCATTTTACATTTCACAACAAAGTAACTTTGTTAAACCATGATAATTGAAACAATGTTGAATAGTAAAAAAAAAAATACTTTGGATAATACTTGGAGGTTCTACCACGTTCTATCACTGGATGGTCCCCCTTATAAATAAGACAATTATTTAATATATAAATAATTATCATATCATTATTATGTGTCTTGAAGTACAGAGTGTACATTTTCTTAAATAAAATACAAAATACGTTTCTATTCTGTACATAAATTTGATTTAATGTCAACAGTAACAACTCTAATTCTTTCATTATTGAACTGATTAAATTTTGATCTAACATCCAAGTAATGTATCTTCGCGAAAAGGAAACCACTAACTGATTTCAATTTTAAACATAAAAACGCTTTATAAAACTTCAAAATAAAATGTATACAAACAAATGATTGTATAATATATTTATTGACTTTATTAACTTCACAATTTGCACATTTTTTTCACACTAAGAACTTATATGTTGATAAATTATTATATAATAATAAATTACACAAAAAAAAAAAGTTAAGATTAAACTTAGGTAAATATATATATATTTATGTATAAAATGTATGAACATTACAAACTACTTTACATCTAATGTATGTAACTGTAAAATATGTAATGTAATCATAATATACTTATTAGTTATTACAATAAAAAAAAAAAAGACAATTTGTAAGTGTTTCAACAATAACATGCATCTTAAACAAAAATTATATTAAAAAAAAAAAAACTGAATTCAACTAAATTTTAACAAAGTTCACATTATTATCCAACTATTTGTCATTGTTGCTGCAAAATTTACTCACGGATTTGTATGAAGAAAGAGATGAAGAGGGAATGTTTTGTACTGCATACATCACCCAAACAGTCATCAATATTTTCTTGACATGCTACTCATTTTGTAGTTATCAAATCTATTATCAGTATACCCCGTTGATATATTCATGCCAATATTGGGTGGTAAAACCTGGTGGTTATTAACATACATGCTGTTGCTGCCGGAACTACGTCCACCACTAATCGACGACATTGATGAAGGATTGCTCGATGTAGTGTTCCAACGACTATAATATATATACATTTATTTAAAAAAAAGTTAACAAGCAATTTTAAGATCAATAACAAGAATCAGTACAAAAATGCCTCATACTTATCAGATGGTGGTTGGGGTGGACGTTGCCAAACAGCGGTTTCCATTTCACGATTACTGCTCGTCGACCACGGGTCAGGCCTCGTACCTATTGTCATACTACTAGACCCTGAACTTGATCCGAGTGAACTAAATGAGCCTTTAATTGGTGGTGTTGGCCAAGTGCTGTTATCACTGCTACGAGACATTCCATAGGCTAAGAAAAAACCAGACGATTTTTTTTAAATATTCGTGGTAATTTTAATTTTGTATTATAATTTTAAAAAACCAGTACAGTGGCGTTTTTGTTAAAAAATACGCAATCTGCGAAAACACAGTTTTCCGGCAATTACAAAAAAAACTGTAGTGCCGAATTTGTTTTCCGTTTAATATGTTATGAATACATGCGAGTTCTAACTATTGACAAACTTTCAACTTAAAGGTCCTAAAATTACGGCTAAAAAACTAAAAAAACAAAAACACTTGAACCCCCTTCTAGGGGGGTGGGAAATGTGTTTAATTTAAATTTGATACAACTGACGTGTGCGGGCATACCGAATAAATATTCCTTATAAATTTCAACTTGATCTGACTTTTTTTCTAGAAATTATAGCCAGTAAATGTTCTAACTTAAAAACTCGTACGTTTTTTTTTTGTTTATTCAAATTTCGACTGTGAATAAGTAAACTTTTTCAACTTTTACCCCCCCCTCCCCCAAGTACCAACTAGATGAAATTTGTGATTTATAGAGTTTCTACTCGAAGGAATTGGTCCAGTATTAAAAAAGTTACAGTGTATACAGATAAAAAAACACACATCAGAGTAAAACCAATACCTTCGCCACTCTGCATCGAAGCTAAAATAAAAGCCCTGATGCTACACTGTACTAGTGAAGTCAGGGCGAAGTAGGGGCAAAACATAATGATGTCAGTGTAGTCACAAGACTGTAACCAAAATAATAAATACTGATAAGAATCTGTAGATAGTACAAATATTAAATATCGATTAAAATCATTGTTAAGGCAATAATGTGCTTAAAATTGTTTTTTGATACATTAAAGTAGATACAGTTTGGGTTGATCTAACAACAAGGGTAATAGTCTATATAATAATATAGACTATTATATAATATAGTCTAATATAATATTTTTCTGATACCTGTTAACTATCGATTCACACACACATAACAACTTGGAAATGGAATATAGTGCAAGTATTGGTTCCCCCTTTTATGGGGGAGTTAAATCACTTTCAAATAAATGCTTTGGATCAAAAGTTTAGACTATATAAAGTATTAAATGGTGATAGTTTTATTGACAATAAATGTGTTTATAACTGTGTTATTTCAATGTTCATTAATAGTGAAAATAATTAATTTTCATTGGAAGGTACCAACAGGCAATCCGAAATCAACAAAATTTGTCAGATCACTGTTAATTGTTTATTCCTTTTTTTTTTTTTTTTTTTTTTTTTTAGTTTTTCCTTAATAAAAATAAAGTTTGACTACAGATTTTTGTGAAATTTGTATATGATATAACCTCACTGAAAACATACCTTCAGTCTAATAAAAAAAAAAAGGGTTAACCCTTAAATGCACGCTAAGCGGCACTGCATACTGCGTTTTTTCCACAATTTTTCATGTAAGGGTTAAAAATATGCACATTAGGATTAATATTTTCTTGATCGTTTGCTGTATATTGGTAGAAATTTATATTAAGCATATCTTACACAAGTTTGGAAATAATAAGACTATTTCTAATGAGTTTTATATAATTTTAAAATGAGAAACGTGTGAATTTTTAGGATGTTCTTCTTGATTTTTAAGGTAAAGAAGGGGCTATTTACACACGGCTATCCAGGCAACAGATCCTAAAAATTGGAAAAGCCTAGCGGAAAAGGCTTTTTTAAATGTTTTCCCTAATAAAGTACCTGTAAGGTATAACTACTGATCTTTTAGTTTGCTATAAGTAGATACCTGTTCAGCGGTTTAGGAAAGATTGTAGGTCCAGATTTAAAATTGAAAGATAAAAACACATCATTGTAAAAACAGTACCTTCTCGGCTTCGCATAAAAGATATCATCGTTATGTAATCTATTATAATAATATTGAATTTTAAGTTGTTAATGTTAAGGAGTTAATAGTGTTTATGTGTATTGCAAATTTAAAATTCTCTTAAGTATATATTGAATAGTATGGTGTGTCTTTAAGCAACCCACATGATGGGCTGCTCGCTTTGGATAAAAGTTGTTTCTCTCTCATTAAACAATATTTTTAAGGTCCATAAGCCTGAATAGGAATGCAAATTATTATAATACATAATTATTACACATTTTTCTAAACCAGCACTGATAAAAAGTTAGTTACTCAAAAATACTATTGCTGTCATTACAGCAACACTCTAAGTAGAATATTAATTTATACTTACAACTTTTGCTAGAATCATATGATGTATGACCATGCCGACTACTTGATTCTTTTCTACGTGAATCGTCTCTGCGATCTGATCGATCATCACGACTTCTGTAATGATGCTCAGATGGCGGAGGAGCACCATATCTATTATAAAATTTATAAAACTATTAAAATACTTAAACGTTTAATTATGAACATGTTCATGTAATGATGAGCGTTAAAATTAATTCATTATGAAACACTTCCTAATTACTAGCAATGTTACAATGTATCATAGGCCTGTACACACCGAAAGAACAATAAAAAGTCTCTTAGCTGTCAAATGGCTGAAATTACTTTACAAAATTCATGAAAACTATGAGCACTTAAGATTCATAGTTATAAAACAAGAACTTTGATTACCAACATGTATACTAATCATAAGTTTTAACATTTTAATAAAATATTTGATATGTTATGTATAAGCTTGTACAAACTAGATAATACAAATTATCCATCTGTCAAAAGCCAAATTTTATTTTATTAAGTTCTCTAAAACAATTAAATTTTAATAACTTATTGTTATAAAAGTAGGAACTTAAAGATTGGTTTATCATAATATTTCTTTTAAATTAAATTTTTGAAAAGTAACTATAGTATTATAATAGTTAGTACCTCATGCTAACGGCAGAATCTTTGGGCCTCGAAGCTGGAGGTGGTGGTGGTGGCGGAGATGGCCTAGTACGACGAGACTCTGAGTGTGATTCATAACGATGTCTGGAAGAAGTTATGTTTGGCGGGGGTGGAGCAGCTGGACTAATATATTCTGCAGGAGGTGGCCCACGAGAATTACGTACAGGTGGCTCCTTCCTGTAAAAATAAAAAACTTTCTTATACTAAAGTTCTTATTAAAATTTGACTCGGCATAAATTTACCTATCATCATATCGCGAGGAACTCGAGGATGAATGTCTCTTAATAGGAGGAGGGGGAGAGGGCGGCATAGCGCGCTTTAATGCTGCTTGACGTTTAGTTTCTTCAAGTTTTTCTTGAGCTCTTCGCAGTTCTTCTTTTTCTCTCTGCAATCTTTCACGTTCTAAACGTTGATTTTCACGTTCCAAGCGTAACAATTCGGCTTTTTCTTTTTCAATTCGCTCACGCTCAATTCGAAGTTTTTGCCTTTCTCTAAAAAATAGAAATAATAATCAATAATTATTTTAGATAATTGTGTAAGCATTTTGAAGAGTACATACTTTTCTAAACGTATGGACTCTTCCTTTTGTTTACGCTCAATTTCCATTTGACGTTCTTTTTCAATTCGACGCCTACGCTCTTCTTCTCTTAACGCTTTTTCGTGTTCTTTCTGTTTTTGTCTTTCTCGTTCAGTCTGTAAATACATATAAAATATGTTCAATATTTAACCAAATACACGAATTCTATTAGGTAGCATTAAGTATACCCAAAATTACATTTTATTCTTAAAAAAAACCCTTTTTTTTCTAATTCTGTAATTTGCTATTTGGAAATAAAAATGGTTATCAATCCTAATTATTTACAAAAAAAATAATTTCCCTCGTTAGTTTAGCTCCAAATATCTTTCAGATTACATGTTGTATAAAATATTTGAAGATCTATCATAGATATAACAAAAATTTGTGTTTATTTAATTAATATATGTATGAATAATTATAAAATAATCTTACTTTAATTTTTGCGTAATTTAACATTTCTTGTTGCCTTTTTTTCTCTCGTTCTATACGGTCTCTTTCACGTTCTAAGTCCCTTAGTCGTTCCCTATCACGTTCATTACTTTTGCTCTTCACACTTCTATCTCTACTCCGTGAGTCTGGTTTATCAATTACGATTCTTGATCGTTTTGAATCTTGGCTTCTATCTTTGGATACTAAACAAAATAAAATACTTAAACAATAACATATATTTACTAATGGTTAGTTGACATAGTTTTTTGTATTATGATATTAAATAATAATGAACAAATCATAATAGTTTGTTTATAATATCAATATAACTTACAAGACCGTTTTTTATCTTGCAGAACATCTGTTTTTTTGTCACCATCGTCAATAGTAATTTCTGGTCTTTTTTCCCTTTTCTCGTCTTTTTTTTCTTTCTTTTCGTCAGGTTTTTTATTCTTTCTTTCTGCGTCAGAACTATTGTTTTCTTTGGAATTATCTGTATTTTTAATAGATTGCTGATAACCATTATCTCGTTTTGCCTATAAATAATAATAACATATATAAAAATTTTTTTTAATTCTCAACTTAAATACAATTTATCAAGTAATACATACCCTTTCAACACTAATAATTCGACCATGCAGTTCAGTTTGATGTAAATGTTCAATACTTCGGTTAGCGTCTTCTGCTGAAGAGAGTGTAACAAAACCATAACAGCGGGCTCCTGGAGTTTTTGCATTTGTCACAACTTTAGCACCAACAACCTAATAATATAAATTGGTATAAAATTAACAGTAAAGAAATGAATAAAATTATAAAAAATAAATTATTGCAATCAAACCAAATTGTAAGAAAACAAACATTTAATGCAGCAACTGTAAAACTATTTACTCCTACAACTAAATTAAAAACAAAATCTCTAGTTTTTTTTTTATTTATAAATTATGTAAATAATAAAGCTTTTACTAAAAAAAAAAAGTATTGACTGGTTACCTCCAGTCACAAACTGACTGGTTATGTTCATACCAACCAGAGAACAATGGATATAAATTAATATAGCGAACATAGAAATAGAAAACCTATCATGAGGATAAGTCTCAGAGTGCAGTTCACATGATATACAAACATTAATAATTATAACGGAAGATATTATTGTAAAATCCGGTTACAAACTAATTGATTACAGTCACATCAATCAGAGAACAATGGATTTAAATTAATATAGCGAACAAAGAAATAGAAAACTAATCATGATGACAAGTCTCAGAGTGCAGTTCGCGTAGCCTTTTGTTTGATTTTTACCAATAATAATATATGGATGGAATTGTTAGACCCGGTCACAAACTAATCGGTTAAATACATGACAACCAGAGAACAATAGATATAAATTAATATAGCGAACATAGAAATAGAAAACTTATCACATAGTATGACAAGTCTCAGAGTGCAGTTCGCGTAGCCTTTTGTTTGATTTTTACCAATAATAATATATGGATGGAATTGTTAGACCCGGTCACAAACTAATCGGTTAAATACCTGACGACCAGAGAACAATGGATATAAATTAATATAGCGAACATAGAAATAGAAAACTTATCACAAAGATAAAGTCTCAGAGTGCAGTTCGCGTAGCCTTTTGTTTGATTTTTACCAATAATAATATATGGATGGAATTGTTAGACCCGGTCACAAACTGATCGGTTAAATACATGACGACCAGAGAACAATGGATATAAATTAATATAGCGAACATAGAAATAGAAAACTAATCATGTTGACAAGTCTCAGAGTGCAGTTCGCGTAGCCTTTTGTTTGATTTTTACCAATAATAATATATGGATGGAATTGTTAGACCCGGTCACAAACTAATCGGTTAAATACATGACGACCAGAGAACAATGGATATAAATTAATATAGCGAACATAGAAATAGAAAACTAATCATGTTGACAAGTCTCAGAGTGCAGTTCGCGTAGCCTTTTGTTTGATTTTTACCAATAATAATATATGGATGGAATTGTTAGACCCGGTCACAAACTGATCATTATTATTTTTAAAACGAGATAAGACAGTATATCCAAAATGTTGTTTTCTTTCATTACCATAACAAGTGTTTTTGCTCTAAAACAAACATGGACCTAGGAAAACACATTCTGCGTAGCTGTGTTTAGATGGGAAAAATTGTTTAAATTACTGTAAGGACGCTGTGAAAGTCTAAAAATGAAATTAATTACAAAAAACAAAAAGTCCTAATTACTAATCACACATTAAAGTCAAAGCTTTGAATTAAGATTTTGAAAAATATTGCCTACTCCTTAATAAATAGTGAGGGTACCACGTCCTCTTAAGACACATATTTTCTATCAGACATTTTTGTACAAGTCTAAAAGTGTTTAAAGTAGGAAATATCGACTGTCAACTAATTCAAAACATTTTAAAGTAGACATGGAAGACATTTTTACACTGTCATTTTTTTTGTAAAAAAAATTGTCATCGTGTGTGCACAGACAATTACAACAAGAAATATGAAGATTACACAGTATTAGACTTGTATGTACGACTAGAAGTTGCATATTTTTTATTATTTACCTTTCCATATTTAGAAAACAACTGTTTGAGATCTGTAGCCTTGGTAACAGATGACAAACCACTGACCCAAATATTTCGAACAAGGGAAGAAGTGGCATTTTTCTTTGCTATATATATAAAAAAAAAAAAAATGAATAAATACTTTTAACAAAATGTACGTTAGTACATATAAATATATGATATCAAAAATAAAAATAAATACATACATGAGTCACTAGAAGCTGTTTGTAACTTAGCGTCATTGCTGTAAAAAAAAAAAAGATACATACAAATTAGCTTTTAATGATCTCCGAGACGACTTTTTACCCATGGATATAAAAAAAATAAAATTTATATAATAATAACTAAGTATTTTAATTTGATTTAAATACAATTACTGTTAACAATGTAGAACACAAAATGCCTAACATAAACCAGTAAAAAAAAACAAAACCCCAAACATCAACCTAATATAAAACAATTAGTCAAAAGATTAGGATTCTCATGATACATATTTGTATCAGTCACTAATTTGATGACAATAAACAATTCTAAATACCAAAATGTTCATGTTACAGGAAGTCACTTAAAAAAGTATATTGCCATGTATGAGAAATTTAGTGAAACCTATGAATATCCATTCATCACGGTAGTTATTTTCACACTCTCTTCATTTTCCGATCCTTTAATTTTCATAAAACAAGTGTATAGCATTTTCATTGTAGTTGTGACTTCTTTAAACGAGGTGGTGACTTAAACATCTTGCAAGTTTATAAGTAACAAGCATGAAATATGTAGATATAAATACAATTTTTCAAACTGTAAAGCGTAATTTTTTGTTCAAGTTAAACAACTACGAAACATTTGATAAAAACTATTGTTTAATATTTTTTTGTCATAATAAGGTAACTCTTCTTCGTTCTTCCATTAGATTCTATGACCATTTTTATTTTTATATATTTACGACCACACTATATTCATTGAAAATAAATATATTAATTTAATCATTATTCATTATAAAAGCTTCTATTGATTTCCTCAGAAGCACAAACTGTAGATTGATTTCTGATTCTTCGAGTCACGATGCTTCACTCAATTTTAATTAAGCAGTAATTTACACTTTTGTAAACTCAAATTAGTATATCTTGTCAAGTAGATAGATGAAATGTGTAACTAAGAGTTTTTAGTTATTTAGTCATTATTCGCATGCATATTTTTGGTGAGATGTTTCAACTGAACCCAAAGGCAATATTTAATTACTTTTCAAGAGACACTTTTCTTTCCAATTTACTTTGTCTGTTTTCTTTGCATTTTTAAAAAAATTTGAAATTCTAAACAAAGTAACCTATAAAAGACATGTTGTTTAAATTTGCTTTTGATATGGCCATTATAATACAATGAAAAAAATGAACAAATAGAAAAAAATGTGGCCAATAACTGAACACGATATGACTTGAAAAATATATTTAAACTAAAGATGAAAAATGAAATATTAAGAACATAAGTTTCAGAAAATAATACTTTTTCTAATCATTTTAACTTGAATAATTATTGTACTAAATTAACTGATGAAATAGTTGGCTAAAGTTCGATACAGGAAAAAAAATCAATGTTAGATGCAAACAGAACCTTATTCTAACTTATTGAATATGAATACCAAAATCCTGATTTAATACAATTTTATCGATTATATGATTACAGTTTAAAATAAATTTAATGCTAATTGACATTCAAATGTATTTAATCCTGATTCTCAATGGTGGAAGAACCAAAAATATGTTTAATAATTGTATTTTCCCACCCGACAGACTGAAGTGGAGTTTCGTTACTCTGGATTAAGTTTACAATTATTGGCAGTTTACCTTGTGTTGAGCGAAAAAAATCTGCAAGACCTTGGGTGAGGGGTGGTTTTTTATTATCTTGACAAACCGTTAGTCCAGCCAAAGAAAATGCCACTAGTCACTAGTTAATTTGGCAACTGTGTATAATAGAACACTGAACTATACTTCCAATTTTGAAACAATACAATTTCAACATTTATACCGAAATTGTCAATAGAATGCTTGTAGAACATTCAAATAATATTGATATATTACGTTTGTTTAGAATAATACTCAACTAGAATTTGATTGAAATAAAAAAAAATACCCCATAAGCAGCAAAACAGTATTTCCATTCCTAATTTTATGAATAAACGTATAATGGCTATAAAAAAACCATTGGATTATTAATTTTTTTTTTGTAAGTCATTGATAAGTCCTTGGAATATCCGACGGAGGGGTAAAGAATCAGTAGTCGAGACCGAGTGCAAAACAAACCTCTGCTTATTGCCAGCATCCACTTTATCTTTTATTTGTTTCTCCTCTTCTTTTTTCTCATCATTGACGACACTGGCACTCGGTTTAACATTGCTGTTGTCCTTGTTGTCATCTTTGTGGCTACTGCGAGGTTTTTCCCCGACTGATGATCGCTTGTCGGTTGCACTTCGACGGAGTTTGGCTGATGCAGCTGGTGTTCTACTGGTGTTGTTGCTATTGCTGCTGCTGTTGTTGGTGGTGATGTTTTTGTTACTGCTGCTGCTACTACTAATGGCAGTTGTAGGACGTCGAGATTCTCGCACTTTGGATGGTGACAGGGCTGCTTCTTCTTTTGTTTGGTTCTCGTTCACTTCGTCTAGATTTCGTCAGACAAATTAAATATACATAAAATAAAAGTTATCTATGCAACTATAAAATATATGAATAAGCATAAATTGAACCTAAATTTAAATTTGTCTACACGAAGTTAACAGATAAAAAAAAAAATTTAACTTGTCTACAAAATTAGATATAGAAAATCGTTTAAAACATTAGTATCAATTTAAAAATACATAATTGAAAAAGCCTAAAATGTATGTATATTTTTATATAAATAAAATAGAATAATATAACCTACACGTTTTAGTGCAGATCATAATTATTATAAGTTTAATATTAAATAACTGAAGTTACATATTATCCTGTGGTATTTTTTAATGTTTCAAGTTATGCCATTTTTTGTAAATTTATAAATATTTATTATTTATAAAAAATTGTTTTATACAAAAACACTCAAGTAGTGGTCACACAATTGGTCTAGTGACGGTAATTATTTGTTTTCATTTGTTATTGAGTATTGCTGGATAACAATTCTTGTCATAAGTAAAAACCATCTCGATTCAATATAACCGCTTGCAAATTGTAACTCTTGAACCTTTTTTTATCAATCTAAAAATGATGCTAATAACTTCGTTGAATTGTGTTGATTTTGTGGTGTTTGTTATCTTTGAGTACATTTCCAATATAGTACAGACACTTCAGTCACGGACCACAAAAATTGCTCAGCACCGCACTTGATATAAATGTATACCGGTATATATAAATATACATGTAAATATAAGAGTATATATAACTACATATATACACATAGATACAAGACGCTAAATACCGACACATTTAAAACGCTTAATTATGCTTTGGTATAATAAAAATATATAACAACTCCGCAGACAACTGTTAAAAAAATTATAATAATCCAATAGTACAATAAAACATTTATAGTTACCCTCTTTTGCTATGTTTGTATCCTCCTAAAAAAAAAATCATAATAGTTAAAAAATGCAAGAAAGAAATTTAGATATGGTTATGGGTTTAAAATTTAAATCTTTCAATAGCGAAAATATAATAACAGAAAAATATTTAAAACAGTGAATAATAAAAACACAGTTGGAATTTTTTTTGAATTTTTAGTTATTTAATTGTATTTATTTATTTTTTTATAATTTAATACAATTTTTGAATTTATATATAATATTTGGTTGAAAACAAATTTCGAACTATTAATTTGGAAATATATTTTTAGTATCCTTCCTGAAAACCAATTTTATAGAACAAATGTTAGAGATTGAATAATTTAATAGCCAAGACTTTCTAACATAATAACAAATATGACTAGGTGGATTACTGGTAATGTAATATGATGGGGTTTTTATGTTTTTAATTGAATTGCTAATTTATAGTGTTAGGATACCTGGAAATTATTTAAATAACTTTTATATTTAAATAAAAATCCAATTAATTATTTATAATGAAAAATTAATAAATATAATTATATTTTTACATGTTCTTTGAAAAATGTAAATCAATAAAAGAAGGCTTTAAATCTCGTACCTATCTTATGACTAATGACGATGGCAACCTCATATCAGACCCTAAAATGATCATAGACAAGTTTCAAACGTATTTTGAGAATCTATTAAACACTAAATCAGACGATGAAACAAACAATACAGATGGATCTAGAGAACCGGCTGAGGATCAAATATATGTTACAGTGGAACCAGAAGTGCCGGAACCTAGTTTGGAGGAGATTAAATCAATAGTGGAGTCACTGAAGAACAACAAAGCTCCAGGAGAGGACAACATAAATCCGGAGTTACTCAAACTTGCTGGGCGAGACCTCCTGGAAAACTTACACAAAACCATCTCAACTATATGGGAGCAAGAAAAACTAGAAAAGGGTTGGAACACCGCTATTATTTGCCCGATTTACAAAAAAGGAGACCCCAATAAAGTGGAAAATTACCGTGGCATATCCCTTTTGGACACTGCTTACAAGGTCTTGTCAATAGCCATTTTACATAGACTTGAAAAATATTCAACAGAAATAATCGGTGAATACCAGTGTGGTTTCATGAAAGGAAAGTCCACTACTGACCATATATTCACCCTTAGACAGGTTATGGAAAAGTATTATGAGTATGACAAAGACCTACACATGATTTTCATCGATTTCCAGCAAGCTTATGATAGCATTATTAGAGACCGGCTATGGTCAGCACTTATACATTTCGGAATACCAAAGAAGTTGGTTAAGTTAATAAAGTGCTGCAATTCTGACACGCTTTGCAAAGTGCGTTTTCTTGGAGAAACATCAAAGGAGTTTGAGGTCAGATGTGGATTGAAACAAGGGGACGCGCTATCTCCCGCTCTCTTCAATCTAGCACTTGAAAAAGTCGTAAGAGATATGCAGGAAGACCAAGAAATGGAAGTACTGGGGCGCTCAACTCTCTTAGCATATGCGGATGACATTGTGTTATTTGGAGAATCGAAAACGGAATTAGAAGGGACAGTACGAAAGCTCATACTGACAAGTAAAAAGATGGGCCTTAAAATAAATGAAAATAAAACTAAGTATATGCTAATGAGTAGACGACCTACTCCGTTACAAAATGTGAGCATTGATCATTTCTCTTTTGAGCAAGTCGAAAATTTTAAGTACTTAGGCGCTAATATAAATCATAAAAATAATATGCATAACGAGATTAAGTCCAGGATAAGTGCAGCAAACCGAGGATAACATGCAATGAGAAAAATGTTCACATCGAAACTGCTTTCTAGAGACACAAAGAAAAAACTATACATTGCCTACTTGCGCCCCATTGTCATGTACGGATGTGAGACATGGTCCACGACGCAGGGTGACGAGAATAACCTATTGACTTTCGAAAGGAAAATACTTAGAAAAATATATGGGCCTATATTAAACCCCAATACTGGTGTACACGAGCGAAGAAAAAACGCTGACTTAAACAGTCTGTTTAATACAGCCAATTTAAAAGATTTTCTAAGGTCGAAAAGGTTAGAGTGGGCTGGCCATGTTTGGCGTGCAGAGGGTGGACTGATAAGACAGGTACTCATCAACAAACCAAATAAAAAACGACCTGTAGGAAGGCCAAGACAACGATGGTTGGACCGAGTTAAGGACGACCTGAAGAGATTACGCAATGGAGCAAGTATTGAGGATGCAGAGGATCGAGAAGTTTGGAGAGCTTTGGTAGAAGCTGCAAAGCGCCTAAATGGCGCGTAAAGCAAAAAAAAAAAAAAAATATTTTTACTTAAACAAATATCCAATAATAATTTCAAATAAATTTTCATTTGATAAAATTGTTTAAATAAAAGCCAGCACCATGAGGAGGTTGGGGTCATTATAGGGACTAAGAGGTCAGTCTTGAGGAATGCTCACTTCAATGTGAAACCATAGAAGTTGAAAACTATTAACAATATATTGATTTATAGACAATACATGTGTTTTTTGTGTAAAATTTTGGAATATTTTCTCGATTTTAAAGAAGAAGGGATGAGCTTTTAAAATTGTTGGTGTGGGTACCTCCCAAGTCACAGCTACAATTTCTGATTTAGATTATCTATATGAAGAAATGTATTAAGCGGAATATGAGATATCATGGGTACAGACACAAAATTAGAAACAAAAGTAATAAAACATCATTGAAAACACAATATTATTGAGACTAAAATATTATTTAAAATTATATAACTTCAATAAGTTTTATTTGATACTCAATATTTTCGAATTATTATTTGTTATCTCAATAAAAAATGCCCAGGTATTTTCAACTTTGGATATATCTCTTTCAAAAAAAATTATATATACTCCATTTAAAATAATAAAAGACCAGTAGCGTTATTTTTCTTAAGATAATGAATACCAAACTTATGAATTTTGCTTGCTGCACTGGTCACGTTTTTATAACCAATGGAATATAGAACACTAGTATTTTTTTTAAATTGAACAATATAAACATACCTCATCAGCAAATAATTTGATGTCATCATCTCCAATAGTCAAGTTTATAGAGTCTTCGTTATTGTCATCTTTATTTGTTTCTTGGATACATTTTTCCTACAAATTTAATACACATAGGCTATAATAAATTATTACAGTACTATGATCGAAAAATAAAAAAAAGATGTTGACAATTCAAATCAAGCATGGTAAGAAAATACTCTCGCCACGCAACTACATAAACTACTACTCAGATGAATTATATATTATGATGTCTAAAACAAAAGTACAATAAATATTTGTCTGTAAGAGTTTTCTGCATCTAATTAATTTAACTCATATCTGCGTTATATTATTATCTTTTAAAACATATTAAGATATACCAGATACATTTTAATGCATTTCTTCATAATAAAATCTGTCCTAGTAAGCGAATGAGAGAAAATAAGGAAGTTAGAAAAAAATGGAATCATTTAAATATTTTACCTAACACCCCTTGATAAACTTGTTTTATCATAAAACTGTGAAGCTAATGTGGAAAAAAATATATATTTATACAACAATTACCTTATAAAATTTGTGTTAAAGATAACATTCTTTATTTAAGTTAGTTATTCTTACAACTATTCTGGAAATAGTATAAGAAAACGTATTTACAAAATGAATTAAATAAAAAGTTAGACTGTAAGAAGTAAAGGCACTTCTTGATAAAATTGGATTTGGATTGCCTGAGAAGCATTATTTGTATAACCTACACATGATTCTATAAAAACTGCTCAGCTAAATAAAAAAAAAAACTTACCAAATCATCAATCTGATCAAAAACATCAGTTCTGCTTTTAATGTCTTCTTCATCAGCCTCATGGTCCAACTCTTCATCTTGTATGTAATCCTCATCGTCAATACCATTAGATTTAATTTCAGACTTTTCATTACTGTTTTGTTCATTGTTTATATCTTCAGCAACTTTGTTTTCATCAGAATCTAAACTTTTATTCTTCAACTCTTCTTCTGGATTATTTCCACATTTCAACTTATCTTCCTCTTCTTTTAAAACTTCACTCAAATTTGTACTATTGTTATCTTCTACTTCAACATCTTTATTATTAGAAACATTAGCTAATTCTGTTTCTCGTTTTAATTCATTTACACTCTCAACTTGATTTGAAATCTCTATATCATTATTTGACTCTTTGTCTTCAACTTCATTAGAATCTGATACTTTCTCATTAGTGATTACTTCATTTGGCAATTTACTTTCTTCATTACTTATTAAAGTTATGTTACTGGTGTCCACTTGATCCATTTTTGTTTCTTCATTTTTTTTCTTCTGAGGATCAATTTTTTCTATTTTTACAACTGGTACACAAGTTTCTAAAAAATAAAAACCTTATTAATAACAAGAATTTAAAGATATACACATAACTATAAACATTTAACTACTGTATCTATATAAAATATGATGTTACATTTACTAAGCAATTTAATAGTCCTAGACTAATTTTTCCTTTCTGTCCTTACTTAGAATTAAAAAAAATTGTCCAAATAGTATTGAAGAAATCATTTATAATCTATATTTTCATGTTATATTATTATATGAATAAACTGTATGAATACACATTGTACAATAATTATAAGTTCGTACATTAATATTAAAAATCATGGTTGCCACATTATTCCATTATTAATTTTCTCTGACATTTCTATTTTTACCAGATTAGATTATCAGATTTTGAATTAATTCTGTTGATTTCATTATTTTTGAATAAAACACTCTTATTAACAGGAAAATAAATAAACCTAACAAGGAACATGCTTTAAAAGTAATAGTATTTATAACTTATTATTAAAAACCCTTTTTTTCTTCAACAATTTTAAAATTTAATATTCACAAAAATAGGGATAGAATTAGAAACTAAAAATTCCAGAATTTTAAGCAAATTCCCTACTACTTCATGTTTTCCCAGACTTTCCAGAATGCTAAACAACCATTAATATTTTGTGGAATTTATTAATAACTCAGTATTTATTCATCTAGTGTATTGATACCCAATCAATTATAATAACCCTTTTTTTGTTTTCATGTACCCGTGGCACATGCAAGATACTGTAATTTTTCAGAAAACGTCTTTGGAACATGAGACATCAATTACCTTATAATAGGCTGCTTAAGCTGTAACTCAAAAATATAATATAACTTACTAGATTTTGGTCCAGGTCTTCTGCCAACAACATTTGTCTTAACTGTTTTTGTTGGAGTAGTTTTCTTTTCAGACATACCAATGGTTTTGCTATCTTTTTTTTCCAAACCAGGTGATTTTAAATTGCTTTCTGCAGCCAACGACTTATCATTAATTTTTTGTTCACATTTATCAAATAAATAACTTTCTGGATCATTTCCTTCATCAACAAGTGCCTAATGATATAAAAATAACTAAGATTTTATTTAACCAATCAAATTTGGAGTCTACAATAATAATAGCTAATTGTATAGTTCTTTAAGTTTAGAACTGTAATGCTATGTTCTAGCATTAAATCTGACTTTATTTTGTATTATTATTTTCATTATTTGATATCAAACTAAACCTAACTTAACCCAAACCAAAAAATAATAAGTGCTAGTCTAACATATTTATCTAATAATTTAATTATTACTAGAAATTAAACAAATATGCAAAAGTGAATACTTAAAAGTAATTAATACATAAAAAAATGTATTAAAATATTAAATATAGAGATAAAAAAAAACAGGTGAGAGTAAACCAGGGCGATAATGACCAGGACAACTATTTCTAAAGTTTTAAATTTAATTTTCTTTAATATTAACATAAAAAATTAATACACATTGCTGCATGTCAATAACGTGTACACATATCCCAATGCTGATTAAAATTACGTGTTTTTTTTTTTCATGACGCCAATCAGCGTTATTAGGGTGACCAAATGATTTTTTAGTCAAATGCTGTTTGACACCATTTGGCGTCATGATGGAAATATGTAAATATTAATAAATTTAGGTAATTCAAATACTTAAATACTTTATTAAAATAAAAATTTTAAATCAATTTTGTACAATTTGTCAAAAATTTCATCATAATAAACACTGAACTACGCTGCCCAAAAATAAAAAATGAATACATAACGCTGGCCGAATAATATTTTTTTTTAAATAAATTCAGAAATGAGGCCTCACGGCGTCATACACACGTCAATATATTTTAAAATATTATCAATGATGTGCTATCGATATTGTATAGAACAATATAATTTTTTTATGTTAGTAAATCTTTATGTACATAAAACAACTCCCTACGTCTTCCAGCTTCAGGAGCCGACTTTAGCCTCCAAACCCCCAAAGGAAAAAATAGCTTGCCTAAGAGGACTAAACTAACCTAACCGACTGCTCTGGAAGCGTCAGCGACCTAACGAGTCCGAACCTAATCTATTCTCGCGTCGCTGACAAATGTATGGTGTCGGGGGCCACACAACTGTTGCCGCATCAGTCGTCGCCCGCCGTCATCTATTATTGTAAAAGCGGATATATGCAAATTCAGACTTCAGATTCGTAATCAGCATAAAAAACACTAAAAGGCAAATAAAGGGTGTCCAGTAAAGTGGATTTTTGCCTAGAATACACAATTAACCTCTAAGGTTTTATGAACCACATACCTATTTTTATACCTATATTCTTTTTAATACAATACCTCTACACAAATTGTAGACCAATAGCAATATAAGCGTCTGCAGACTTACACATTTAGTGATAATTTATAACTTGAAAATGTACAAAATTAGAATAACGTGATATAATATATTATTATAACTATAGTAACGCAATGACATTCATAAATTAACTATGCTTGTTGTATTCTTTAGATTATTATCGTTATATACCGCAAACGGCATAATTTATATAATATACCTTTTGAAGACGATCCAACAAAACAGCCTTTATGCCGGTTTTGTCCAATTCACGTTTTTCTAGTTCTGTCCGGAGTTCAGGCACTTTTAAATCACCAATTTTACGGGATTCTAGTACATCAGACATCATTAAATGCGTACAATTTGTAAAAATTGATTATAGTTATAAAAGAAATGTATGCATTAATCGACCGAACGAGTTGTACTTTAAATATTCAATTGAAATATAATGTTAAATTTCTATTTTCCAACAACGCCAAACGATAGTCTTTTGGCGAACGCGACTAAAGAAATACCAAAATCAATTATCAAAATGGAGTTCAGAATTGTGAGTTGTGACTTGTGAAGAATTAATGTTTTTACTTTCCTTTCCATGCCTTGTAATTATGCGTCAAAATCTCACGCGTTATCATAAGACATAAATTTAGGTAGAGGTACCCCCCACAAGTGCTACACAACAACTGCAATATCAATGTCTGTGTCCTTAGTCCTATAGACGACCTTTTCATACCAATAGGCGGAGCATCCGAGTTGTGCGGTTACGGCTCGAAAATTAAATATACATATACTTATGACAAAATAGATCTAGTTTGTCATGCATATTATATACGTATACATACACACAACCAAACTGGGAATTCGAATGCGCATGTGTAAAGATCATCATGACATGACTAACAACGTTCTCTCGTTTGCCCGCTAGAACTACAAGCACACGCCGTCTATTATAAACAAATAGTAGGTCTGTAGTCTGAACGCGTGATTCACACTTGTAATACGTCACAATTCCAAAGAGGTTCGAAATAGTATCGTCAGTCATGGAAATAAAACATAATACGGCGTTTGGAGCGTAAAAGAATTCGCGGGATTGTAAATAAATTTCTTATAATACAACTATGACGCTAAATAGCTATATTTAATCGTCAAAAGCTAAGCTATAGGACCAAACCAGTGGCGTGTAACTAGGAGTAAATTCTGGGAGGGGGAGGCCGGCAGTAGTAAAACTTAAAACGCATTAATAAAAAAATTAATAGTTCAAACATTTTTTTAAATTTTACATGATAAAACTGATAAAAAGGTCATCAAAATCATGAAAAGTTATACGTATTGCATAGTAATTGATTTTTAACAGATGTCGGCGATCACGAATGGACGCGTCTTTGTCAAATTTGTCAATAATTGACGTTAATATTGATCAAGTAGTTATTACTTGATCAATTAATTGACCCTCCCTTGACTCTTTCAATATAAAACGTAGCAATACGCCTACTCAGTCTTGTTTAGCCCACTGTAAACCGTTTTATTTTTCTATGATAAAATATAAATTTAATTATAAATTATAACGGGGGGAGGAGAGCAAAACGATACTATCGCCCCCTAGCCTAGTTTATTTATTTATTTATTATTATTTTTTCCCGGACAAATGTCCACATTTGTAGTGATACACAATATAGAATAACTTATAGTAGATAACATATACATTAATAAACTTAGGAACTAGATTATAAAATAGATACATATATATATATATATATATATATATATTGATTAGATAATATTAACTATGGAATACTTATTAGATAGGGGAAAAAATTTACCTAAATAAATTATGAGATTTAAGATTATTGCCATGGAACATTAAAATATTTATTGGATGATTAAACATGTAGCTTTGAGAAAATTGATGAATACAAAATAAATTATTATTTCGAGTGTTGTGATGAGAGACTTTAAAGTTGATTTAGCTTAATAAAAAAGAATCATCAATGTCATTATTTAGTAGTTTGAAAAGAAAATATGTATATGCAGTAATTCTACTTATTTGTTGAGAATCAAGTTTTAAGATTTCTAGGATGTTTTCATAACCAGTGTGCTGTGTGGGGAGTTCTAGCTGTATTACATTTATAGCAAACTATAGAACAACTGTTGGTACTGTTACAACCAATTACCAAAGTTCTTATTCTCCCAGTCTGAGTCCCAGTTCTTCTACTATAATAAATAATTTTCCCATCGCAATTTAGCGAACGTCAGTAAATTAACATTATCAAATGTAAATGATAATAGCGGTAAACGGTAAAAAAGCCTGGGGTAATAAGGTCAGATTTAAAAAAAAGTCAGATAAAAGGTCTAGATGATACATCGATAGTAGGACAAAAGTTCCGAAAGTACTTTTAAAAACTGCATTTATTATTGAACAGTTATCTTTGTTTATTTTACAAGTGAAATCTGTAGGTAATTAGTATTGCTAATTATAACTATGTATATCATTTTTAGTAAAGGGTATATTCACTGTATTGTGTATATTAACCTACAAGTTTTTTTTATCAAAAAATGGAAGTTACCTATTATTTTAAAAAATGTGTGCACGAGGAACAAATGTACTTTACCGGACACACTTTTTTTTTTTGTTTTTTTTGTTACTATTATGGCACTATTGCAGTGTAATAATTCTGTTGAAATTATTTTGAACAGAATTATTAAAATAGTATTTTTATCATAAAATAAAATTGATGGATGGTCCTAATTTTAATTTTTTGTTATCATAGTGTAATGGCACTAACAGGATAACAAAGTGAATAAACATCGGTATATATTCAACTGTTAAAAATATATAAATAAGTAGATAAATAGATTAGTAGATAAATAGATTAGTATGTTGCCTAACAGATTACAGAATACGGGATCTGTTCTGTGTACACCTAGTCTTACAAATAAAAAGAGCAAGAGAGGGGGATCTATCTCCCATCCCCCCCATAAATACGCCACTGTGGTACTTACGTACGTAGAACCTTATAATCGATTTTATTTGATACCATTTTTTAGCCTTGTTATTATTTTATTGATAAATCTCTTAATAATATGTTTCCAATCATTAACGGTCAATTATAATTAGCTTAATAATGTTTAGTGCAGATAAAAGTATAAACTATCAAGTTATCTATAAGTAGTAAACGGTCATCTCACCTCTTCTTGATCCAACATAACCGATGACGCTTTTTTATGTTGTATACGCTCTCGAAGTACATCGAGAAATGCTGTTTGGTCATTTGGAATAAATCCCACAAAAGCTTTTTTATCAGGAGAGTAACAAATAATGAAGATTTTGAAGTCGCAGTTATGGGAAGTAGTAGCACAATTAAAATGAACACAACCAACCTATAAAAAAATTAGAGTATTTTCAAGAGTTTTTTATTTATTTACTAAAAAAAAAAATAACATAACTATTAATACATACATATCCGTTGCTCATTAATGTTGTTAAGGACCCCAATGAGTCGCAAGGCGAGGGTTGGAAAAACACTGGTTTCGAGTTTTTCAAATGTGTACCTACAATATCAATTCCCAATAAATGTTTAGGTATTAATTGTAGAATTAAAATTTCTGGCCACGTTTCTGCTTTCCTATAGATATAAAGTGTTTCATTATTTATAATTAATGGTATAAATGAAATAATTGTTTTACAGTTCTGGCTCTCCGTTTTTCAAACTTGCTAAAACTGTACACGGCATACTTCTTGTAATTGTTTGTACATCGTTAATACTTTTTGATTTTTCCAGCCACTGCAGTGTGCCTGTCCAAATGCTCTTTCTTCCAGATCCATTCTATCATAATTAAGTATTTAAAATAAATACTAAATAAAAAGTTATTTATTAAAAATTAATTACTTGTTGTTGATTAAACATTTGTAAGAATCCTTTGTTGTCGTTACTTGTTGCTGCAGCTCTAAAAAATTTCACACGTAACCCTAAAATATTATAAATTATCCAATTTACTCTAAAGTAATTTATAATTTGCACGAAGTTAGTTATTATTCTACCACCGAGGTTTTGATAAATATAACAATGTCGAATGGGCTATAAATATTAAATGTTTAACGCGATTACGTGTGCTTCTCATTAAGCAATCTGCGTTCAATACTGGTTAAATTATAATCAAAACAAGAGACAGTGTCCTATGTGCTAGGCACTGGCTATTATAAGCTTGCTTCCCCCCAAAACAAGCTTATGCCTAAAGGGGAGTTGCAAATATGTATCACGATAATTTTTATTTATAAGTGTATTAATGTATGTATGTTTTTGCTAAATAAAATTATAATTATTATTATTGTAAAGATTATAAAGATAAAACGACGAACATAATTTAAGACGTAGGTGCAACAACCAGACATGTCCTTTTAAAAAAAAAAATGTTTCAACACAATTTAAACTCCAAAAAAAAAATTCTTCAAAAAATTCTAAAGTGTTTTTACCATAGAGTTACGACGCCGAATGAACATATTAGGAATTATCATCGTTTTAAAGTTCACCACTTCCCCTTCGAAATCAAGCAGAGTAACCAAAAAATGTACATAATCTTCAACAACTTATGGAACTCTTATCACTTTTTTAGAAATAGTCCAATTACTTCCACTGTATTTGATATTCTTAAGACATTGTACCTACAGTATACTATAACCGATAACGATGTATATTAAAAACCTAAGAAAATATCATTAACCGTTTTCCTCCTAAGAATGGGTGAACGTTTTTTTATTTCAATTTTTTTACTGTAGTTTCGTAACTAAGGGTCTGAAAATAAAGCTGAAGAGTGTAGGTAGATCTAGAGAAATTTTAACATAATAATTTCTGGAGAGGTATGACGCTCCCCGGTCCGTATATCCTTATATCTCAGCCACGCCCCCACTATGCTCTGATGCCACAATTCCACTATGCTGGCTTTTTTCTGATAACTAACAATATATCAACTGCAGTGTGAACAGTTATTAATTATCAAATAATCAGTTGTAATAAGTATTAACTATGACCAGGCAATCAAAATTATATTATATTATAATATATTATCAGTTAATAATATCTCTGTAATGGAATAATTTTAAGTGAACACTACGATAGTGTATGTTCATTGTACATTATATTCAAAGCGGGAATTATGTGAAATCACAAACATATTATTAAGAAATATTATTGTATGTAATAATATTATATTATCTGATTTTTATCATCTATGGATTGCTATGAAGCAGTAATAAATGTTCGTAAGGCTTTATGGAATCCGGTATAATTTTAATAGAAACAATTATGATCATCCTAATATTAATGTGATGATCCGTAATCCGTTTAAGTATATTTATAACTATACATGCTTTAGCCTGTAGCGTGTACTCGAGGATTTTGGCTCCTTTGGGGGGCCCTTGAAAAATCCTAGCACCCTATTAATGAAACATTAACAATACCAATTTCCCAGATTTCATTTAACTAATTTTTCACATCTTCCGAGATGATGTTATTTATTTAGTCATGTTAAACAATATTACTTATGCATTTTATTTAGCGTCAACGAATGCAAATTTTGTAATTATTATTATATATGTACAATACTATGTTAATCAGTAATATTTAATTTGATATTTGACGATTAACATAGGTCAGGTTTAAATGTTACGAATGGCACTACGCTAAACACAAATAGAAGTATTGAATTTTGCATGAAGAAAAAAAAATCAGAGGTCATAAAAATACTTAACTTGACAAGTTGATTTAAGCAAATTAAACGCTCTTCCTACAATGTTAGGTGGGTTACAATTACGGCATTTTATAAAAACATTTTAAAAGATATTCGAATTAGTTTCGAGCTTGTGTGGGATATTTGTTATCTTTAGCTATAGTATTATAAATTATAATATATAAAGATTGGTAAACCAAAAAATATGCCAACTTAACTTGAATTTGCCAACATGAGAGGGGTCATTCCCTCCACTCCCCTCTAGATCCAGCACTCATCCTATGCTAGTTAGAAAGCTTAGAACATGTATCAACTTACAAGTTACAGTTATAGTCAGAATTGAGTAAAATGTGGAGAATTGCCTAATTGCTAGGTATCGAGGATTTTGACATGTGTCGCCTTTTTCTAGAGCATCAGATTTTTATTTTTTTTCGGCAAACATCCTATTAATAAATAAATTATTATTGGCACTTTTAAAGAAATTCCCTAGGCTCTAAGTGATGTATTATCTTTTATTAGCACACTTATCACAGACACAAAAAACCATCGCGGTCTTCATCATTGCGAAAATGTACATCATAATAATGTATATTTATTATTTATGTACCCATGGGCTATGATTATATTTAATGTAGAAATATTTAATAGCTACAATACCAAAAAGAAAAAGCCAATTAAACAAAACAAAACAAAAAATATAAAAAGACGTTTACTCATACCGTATTGAGGACACCGGTTGCTAATAACGCTGTTGAATATTTATTAAATTTATATTTATCCAGCAGTAGAATTTCGAATTTCTCCAAAAAAATAACACGATAATATGCTGTGAACAAAATATGTATACTATTTGAAAAGTATACAAAAGGCCAATATTTTACAACTGTGAACGGGTTGTCCGCGGTTGTTATGATGCTCGCATAGATAGACCGTATCGCTTGAACCTCGTACTGCTGCTGCTGCTGCTGCCTGCTCTCAGAGTGTCCGCTATTATCAGTCAGACTTTGGACGTTGACCCGTTAACAGTGCGTTGTGCGGCGTGTGTATTGTTGAGTAGTAGCTGCAAAGAAGTTAGTTTTAATAGTCTCACATAGTCGTTTGCGTTTAATTATTGCAGTATGGTCTGTTTATTTTAACCGTGCCTAGTGTTATAATATTGCCGTGGTCGGATTGCAAAAATTAAGGTACGTTTTTCTAATTAATGATATTATAATGTGTATTGTGTATCATATAGGCTGTCATTTCCACCGGTGAACTCGCCAAAAAAACAATATTAACGAAAGCGCGTTTGAATTCTAAAAGATCCTCGGGAATTTTAGCAAAATGTTCGTTTATTAATCTCGTGGTGACATAATTTATAATTTAAAAAAAAATGTACAATTACAATACCTTCTCAGCTTCGCATTGAAGCTTAAGCACCAATTTGTCACAAATGTCAAATATATAGTATAAAAATGATTATTTGCTTTTAATTTTTAAGTATTAATTTGAGAACAAACATTCTAGGTTAAAAGTGATTTAGATGTGGTTCTATAACTTTATAGTAGAAACAACAAACTTGAAATTTTATTTCAATAACTGTCATTAAAATTTCGTTTTACTACATATATTGTTTTATTTTAAAATATGCAAAATGCATTGTTTTTATTTTATTAGTTATTATATAGGCTTAATTTATTAATAAATGAGAAAAACAATCAGCAATATACCTTTGAGCTATGTAAATCCGTTTTAACATAGTAAATAATTTTTTAAACAAAGAACCAATTTAATATAAAAAGTTAAATACTCATTAACATTTCAATATAAAATAATAGTTAAAAAATGAAAGAAGAAAAAATGTTTAATGATTATTAATCTTGAACTTACACAACACTTAAATAACCCCTGTACATGACAATAACCTGTACATGTCATTTTGATGGCTACTTGTTCTATTTTATTATAATTTAAAAAAAAATACATATACTCTGTTCTTATTTCGAACAGAGTATAATTTACATTGAACTCTAATCTCAAGCATCATCGATAGACGATACCTAAGTACTTTTATCAATATTATGAAAATTACGTACACATTTCATTTCATTTTTTTATTATTTCCGTTTAAAAATTATTTAGAACACATATAAAACATTCTAGTCAATTTTTAACGCTCTGTTAATATTATTATCAATTTCAGCTGTCTGACATAAATGACATAAAATAAGTATTTAAATATAAGTATATACTACATTTTTTTTAAAAATATGTCTATAGCAAATTTACCCAAATGTTTTTTTTATTATTCGTATACCACGAAAATTGTCGTCCAATCATTAATGTGTGTTAGGTTATACACATTATAGATTGCTTGTATTAATATGTTATAATTGATAAGCCCAACACAACATTAATATTGATTAAGTTATAAAAGAATATATAGAATGATATTATATTAATAGATCTACTTACCAACTTAATTTTTAATATATTTTTCAATTAGTTCGATTTTCCAAAAACGTATGTTTCTTTCATTTGTTGTAAAATATTATTTCTTTCAAGAACTTTAGAAATATAATGAATATAACTGGTATATCGACCTACTTACGTGTTTTATCTTAAACATTTTAATGTATTTGTCTTTATGTCTTATGTTACCTTTATATCGTACCTATACGTCCTTTTTGGTGTATAGGTACTATTTTTTTTTTACCGAACAATGATGTCACAATATGGGATATTTTGCTGAATTGCTGTTTGAACAACTGTGCTAATCACATGTGTTTATATTTTAACGCCAAAAATGTATACATAACGTACGTGCTATATGGTTTTAAAATACAACTTGTAGACGCCTCGAAAAATGTCTTATGCTACAATATTTAAAACGCGTTTTATGTTGATATAGTCTGGTATTTTAGAAATAGGCTAATACATGTGCCCTCCACCTTGCGAACTCGGATCCTTTTTTTTTGCTGTCGGAAAAATATTTTGGACGTTGGGATTTTGCAACAAATAACAATAATCATAAATATCTACCAGCTAGAATAAATATTTGCTAGGTATTTAAGGGATTGCCGTTTTTATTAGAAATAAGAAAATAATGTCAAAATGTTTTGTTGCATACGTCTTGACTGGTAGCTACAGAATATTTAAACGAATAGCCGGGGGAATAGGTACTGTTTTATTTGGTCAATATAAGTGGTCAAGTTATATTGCAAAATACAGTATTCGTTTCGAAACATTAATAAAATAAACTAAGCCCATTTTTGTTTGCGATTAATGCATTTTTTTTTTTACTTGTCAATAGAACGATGCATAGAAGACGATCCTATTTGAGAATTATACTGTGTTTAAACGATAATTATTGTTACAAGGTATAGCTGTTTACATCGCTACATCGTGAACATTTGTGTATAGTGTGTCGTGAATCAATTCACGTTAGACTTTTATGTACAACGCATTTTTTTAAATAATAAATTATTTTCATACATAGCACAGCTGCTGTGACAATATCATTATTTCGTAATTGTCATTACGCTTACCCTTGAACGCGATCTGACAAATAGAGCCCATTTTCTTTATTATTGCCACTGTCAAGTGCGGTGCATTTGTTTGTGATTAACATTTGTCTCGGTTAGAGTAGGTAGTAGGAACGGTTGTGTACAGTAGGTACAAAGACAAATAAAGAAGTACGACACTGATAGGAACAAAGGAAATCGATTTCGTATACTGTAAAATTAACGATAGTTTTCGGTTCCGCATTTATTGAATCGTTTAGAAAATTCGATCGTGTTTGGCACATTTCATTTGTCTTAAGTCTTCTGACACAGGGAAGTCGACGATTCTCACATCAATTGATTTGTCAACGCTCACGTTAGTTGTCACGGTACGATGATCTTTTAGCATATTCCGGTAGTTTAACAATTAATTTTGTTTTCCTTGTCGGTAAATCTGGGACACTAGATGATAGCTTCCCACACTACAGAAAAAAAAAGACTTAAATCAACCTTTGTATATTAAATACTACAACGTTTTAATATTTTTTTACACGTGTTCTCTGTGACTTCAGAAGCAAATAGTAATGTTTTAATAAATATTAAATACAATACAATAATATACTACTTCATATTAATAAAATGAAATGTTCTTTTTTTTTAATTAGTGCGTATAGTTTTTTTAGTTTCCATAAAGAAGACTAGTAGTTATTCAAAACTAAGATTTCATACAAATTATCTGATATGTTGTTTTCTTTCTTTAAAATGTATGGACCCTTAATAAGACAACATAAGTTGATGCAGATATTGGGTTTCTCTGTTTTGTATTAAGTATCAAACGAGCATGACCAATATTTAAATTTCTGTCAAAATGATAAATATCAACAAAATTTCGAAAAAATCCTAATTTCAAAGAGCCATTTTATTATGGTAATAAATTATTATTATTTTTAATTAATTGTACAGGAAAAATGCACGATGAATTTGACGATAAATCAAAAGAAAGAGATTTTAAACTCACATTTTAAGGTGAATGGCAATATAAAAGCGTAGAACACAAGTATGTTTTACATACATAATATTATTATTGTTACATTTTACTAAATATTTATTCTTAAGTTGAATTTTCAAGGACGAAATTTCAAAATACGATTATAAGTATGTGGAATGATTGACCTTTATTTTTATTCCATATGTAAGTCACATTTCGTGACAATAATCCGATATTGGCAAATGCCAAAAATAAACAATTAATAAAAGTCTGTAAAAAGCTTTGAAAATCAATAATAATTTTTTCGGTATTAACAAAATATTTTTTTAGTATTACTTTTAAATTTATTTTTTCATGAAAAATTTTCTTAGGAATCTATTTATCAATACAGCAAGTTTTTCACATTTAAAAATGATATGATAAATTTTTTTGGAGAATTCGAGATTTTACTAAATACAATATTATTAAAATTATTTTAAAGCAAGTCTTATTTATATTAAAACGTCAACGATGGTTCATTTTAAGCAGTTGTGGTCACATTTTCATATTTTATTTTAGTTTAAATATTATATTCATGTCAGCTGCAAGTTGACTTTAGACAGAATTTTTGTTGATTGGATAGACTGCAGCCTGTTGTACCTCAGCCTGTTACGCTATAATACCTACTATCACGTGTCATCATCATTCACCATCAATGGCAATTTCATCGACAACAGACTCCGTCATGTTTTTATAATACTTATTTGGTATAAATATGTATATTTAAATTTAATAGTATTAAACACTATATTTCCACAAATGGCTCTAGTTTTTATTTTACAGTATATTCGTATTTTGCATTATGTCGTCATGAACATTTATTTAACAATAAAATACAACAGTTATCTTATTTACACAAGCATTATACAGACGTTTAAGCTTTAGAAAGTCGATAACATAAAACTGGATTTATCGCTCTGCATAATGTTCGCACTTTATCATCCTCAAAAGTTACATTGTTAAAAACAATATAGAAATTGTGTTTATTATAATTGTATCCGTATACCGTTGCCGTGTTGGTAATTACATGTCCTTAGTGTAAATTTTGGTAGATTGTTTTAACCGGTTCCACGTTGTGCAATTGGCTTTTAAATAACACTGTTATTATTAATAACGTATTTCGCATGAATCACAAAGAATACATAGTTAAACGGAAGTATTTTTTTTTTTTGCTTAACATATATGTGACGAGGATTCTACGCGCATAACATATAGGTAGGTACATTTATAAAAGTGATGTTTAAATAAATGTTATGGTCTGCTTCTGTTTGCTTTTTATTTTAAAAAATAGTATTTTAAAATTGCCATTTTTTTCAACTAACCAATTAAAATAAATTATAAAGTGTTCAGTCCAAACATATAAAGTAAAGCTTGTCAATAGATAAATCTTTATAACGGAATTACAGAGAAACCACAGTAATTTGAATGGCAAACTATATTGGTTTAGGACCTAAACTTTAGGATGTGAAGAAAATGTTTGATGTTGAGTCCTTAAAAGTAGAAAGGACACTGGGTAATTTATTTATCATAAAGCAATACTTTTCTATTAAAATAATTTCAATTTTAGTGTTTTTCTTTACAAAAAAAATGTTTTTTACGTGACTACAAAATTACAAAATACTTACCATTCTTACTATTTTCCATAGCGCTTTCGACTTTTAAAATGTAAATTAAAACGTATGTACCTTTTTAATATGAGAATAATTTTGATCAGTTTTTTAAAAAAATAATTACATTTGAAGTTGTTATGTTTAAAGTTATACGTTGAAGATCCATTTATTTTTAATAAATTTTTTTCACAAAAAAAAAACGAAAATGGAATAATTCAAGGGCGTTCCTCATGTAATGCATACCAACTAGCCACTACGGTCGTTGAACAGGATTTAGGCTAGCTAAGGAACAAGGATACTTTAGGTAGGTAATCATTTTGATTCCTAGACTGTACATGTCGAACCCTGATACACAAATTACACGAATCATTAAAACTCGTCTGTAAATAGTAAATACCTATTTAAAAAAAAAAAAAAAGTATAAACCATATTATGATGATGTAAGCAGAAGGTTAGGTTAAGTATGCCAAAGCTGTAACTAAATAGTATTAAATTAACGTTTAAAGTTACTGTTGAAAACCTAATAATTAAGTACACGGAAAAAATAAATAGTTAGATTCACTTTAATTATACACCATACATTTATTGTTAGAGTAATTAACAAATTATCACATTAGTGTTTTTAAATACATAGATGAAAAGTGAAATAGTAAAACCGACGCACGCACTTATCAGTTATCTATCACCTTATTAATTTATTAGTTACAATACCTATTAAAAAAATAAAACATGAATATAATAATAAGGATGCAGTAAAAATTTTTAAATATAATATTAAAAAAAGATCACTAACTATTCTCAAATCCCAACATTAAACAATTATTACTCGTCTCATTATGATAAACTAATATTTACATGTCATGGTATGATAATTATATTAAAAGCTAAAAATATCAAATAAGGAGATCAATGGATATTAAGTTAATACAAATATTATTGCGTGTGGCTTTATCCCGAAGTAGGTTTTAAGACTTAACTCGGTCGCCTATGAGGAGGATGACAGTCTCATTTACTTACAACTCTTCAGTAGGCACCTCAAGTATAACCATACATAGATTTTTTTTTTTTAAATGAACAATTTTTTATTTAACCTGTGATATAATTGATAAAATTATTGGTACATATTCGTAAATTATTGGTGCATATTGTATGCCTTTTTATTAATATAATACTTTGTGCCTACTTGTTAAAATAAAGCAATATTACAAATGTAAATTTATAGTCGTTGATAAAATGCTTAGGCGTGGGTTATTAGTATTGTAGAGGTAGTTCGTGCGTAGGGCGTAGACGAAGGGTGTGGTAATGTCAGTTATATTTATATCTTAAAAGAAAACAGACCGTACACTGAGTTTACTTAGTATAGATTTTGACACATCCGGTTTATGTTATTCCTATAAACAAAATTAAGCAGATTTATTACTTTTTATATTTATACATTATATTGGTACAAATTA